ATTCAAAGGCTTTTACGTTAACACTCCGTCACCGTTAAATTTAACGGATTCCGTTACCGGACACGTGGACGTCAAGCTGTCTTCAGAATCTGCGATTGTGGCGGTTGGGAGGGGTTTCGAGACGTACTCGGTGGTGATAAAAATCAAATCGCCACCGTTAACGTCGGCGATTAGATCTCCGGTGGATTTAGTCACCGTTCTCGACGTTACCGGAAGCAGCAAAATCGAAACGGTGAAACGAGCGATGAAGCTAGTGATTTCGTCTCTAAGAGACACCGATCGTTTATCGATGGTTTCGTTTTCGTCGAGCTCGAAACGATTAACGCCGTTACGGAGAATGACGGCGAACGGAAGAAGATTAGCTCGTCGGATAGTCGACGAAATCTCCGGCGACGGCTACGGAATGAGCGTTAACGACGCAGTTAAAAAAGCAGCGAAAGTAATCGAAGATCGCCGTCAAAAAAATCTTTTCACCACCATCTTCGTTTTAACCGACCGTAATAAAAACTCGGCCCATCAAGCCCAGTGGGCCCACGCGCGTTTGGAAATCCCAACGCACACGATTTGGCTCGACGCGCGTAACCGCGAAGACGCGTTTGCGAAACGCCTTAAGAGTTTGTTGAGTTTATCCGTTTCGGATCTTACTTTAGACCTCGGATTGGTTTCCGGATCGGGTCAAGGTGAGATTACTTCGGTTTATTCGTTATCGGGTCAACCGGTTTGGCTTGGAACCGGGTTGGTTCGGTTAGGTGATATGTACGGTGATGAAGAAAGAGAAGTGTTGGTGGAACTCAAATCACCTGCATCTAGTAAATCACACAGAATCTTGAACGTCCGATCTCGCCACGTGGATCCTACGACTCAAGAAATAAGAAATTTCGAAGATCGAGCGCTTTTGATACCACGTCCTATCGCCGTTAGATCATCGAACACGAGCATCGCAAGGCTTAGAAGCCTCCACGTCAGCACACGAGCCGTGGCGGAGTCTCGACGGCTAGTCGAAGCCAGTGATTACTCGGGAGCTGAGCGAATGCTGACGTCAGCTCGAGCTTTGTTGGTGCAATACGGTTTGAGTTCGGGTGATGCGTGCTTACGTGGCTTGGATGCTGAGTTGGCAGATTTGAACCGTTTGAGAGGGAGACACGTGTCGGTGAAGAGTGTAGAGTTAGTGGCTCAGAAGATTGAGCCGCTTACGCCGACTTCAGCTTGGAGAGCTGCAGAGAGATTGGCTAAAGTGGCGGTCATGAGGAAGCATATGAATAGAGTCAGTGATCTACATGGCTTCGAAAATGCTAGATTCTAGTTTCTTTTATTTTTGTTTTGTTGTTTTTTTGCCTTTTTATTAAGAAGTTTTGTAATGGTGTGAATGTGATACAAATAGAATGGTATATGAAATATATTATGGAAATTAATTTGAGTGTCAAAATTTTAGAAATTGTTTTGTGATATGGCATTTTCAAAATGTATAAGATATTCACAATGGGTGGTCAATTGTCATTTCGTGAAAGGTAATGAAACTCTATTTCTATGTGATGTTTTTGTTATTTGATTTTTCAATTGATGTGATATAAAGAAATATAATGGTAAAATTGTATGGATAAATATAACTTTTTTTGTGTGTGTGTAACGACGGAATTGTTCATTACTTTTGTCTCATGTACTTTTGTACATTGAATAAAATCTCATGATGATAGTGTAACCTTTTTTTTCTCTTTTTATTCCCACTTTTTGTTGCCTCTATTATGTTCCCCATTATAATTTCACAATTATGTTCCCCATTAACTACCAATAACACAAGTCAATCGGTCAAAGTGAAGTGGAAAATTTGGCTAAGTGCTCCATTTTTTGTTTTTTGGTACGTTTAATTTGGATAGATAGGTGTGCTCCACTCAAATCCAATAATGAAATAGTACATACATTGAACTACTCTCTTCCTAAAAGCTCCTTCATACCAAAATTCAACTTGATTTTAGTATATGATTGATTCTATTCAAATAAGCTCTAAAGCTAAAAGGAAACGTTATAAAACTACGAGACTAATTTTGCATATATGTAAAGAATTTCTATATTCAGAAAGTTGAATCAAACAAACAGCAACACAAACAAGTTCTTATGGGAGGGTCCAATCGTCTAAAACACTTCCCTGATAAATTTGTACACAAAACCCCCCATTTTAAAGAAAAGTTCATGAAAACAGAACAACGTTTACATTTTTTGACACACGATTCACCGGTCACAACTTGGTTCCGATTTTCCGGTTATTACGGAGCTTCGATTTCAAAAGTGCAACTGCCTACACCTTGAGATGTCTACGTCGGTCGGGCAATAAGGACATTTGAAAGACGATTTAGAGCCATTCTTCGACATTTTGTTGATAGTCTGCTTGCAAAGGACATGTCCACAAGACATCATCATTGGAGGATTATCATCACTTGATTGTTCTTTAGAGACGGGACAGACAAACACCGAATGGAACTGAAACTCCTCGGATAATTCCACAGCGACAGGAAGTTGTTCAATATTCTGCCAATCGAGCTTCTTGTTCGCCATCACGTTCATGTATTTCAATAGTACGGGTAACGTTTGTGTACCTGCTGTTACCGTTATACTCAACGGGCTTTCAGATGATTCACCGAGTAGGTTGCAGTATTGTCGGGTTAGCTCTTTGACCGCATTGTTCCATAGTGCGGGAGAGAGAAACTCGGAGTACGGTGATTTCTGGAGGTTGTTGTTCCATAAGAGAGAACAAACGAGCTTCTGAATTTCAGGAAGACTGCTATCTGCAAATATGGCGATATTTTTTCTCGCGTAGTTGATAGCTTCTTGGGAGTTTTGGCCTTGAGCTATTTCCAGGAAGTGTAAGCTGTGAAGCCTCAGCTCGAGATCAGACCTTGCTTGCTTCAGTTTATCTGAGTTCGAGACTGCCCACTTAAGAGCTGGTTTAAGATCTCGATTCTTCATGGCTTCTAGTATCCGATACATTTCCATGAAAGATCGTTTGGTGGAACACTCAGATTCGCCAGTTTCAGCAATGAAACAATCACCAATGTCAAACATTCCTTGTCGGTAGAAAAAATTGGCGATTATCTGGTTAACGATATGCGTATCAAAATCGACATTGTGTCTATACGCCTTTGATATGTCTGGATTCAGCTGTTTCTCCAGAACTTTCGGGTACTTAGTCAGAGCCGCGTTTAGTTCCTTCTCGGCAACTTCAAGTTGATTGACCGGAGCTACCTCCACAAACATTTTCTTCACATCAGCAAGGACAGATCTATGATCAAGCAGGGTATCCGGTGACGACGGCGAATTCTGTATTATACTCAACGCTTTCTCGATTTCTTGAGATAGCATCTGAACAATCTCATTTGTTTTGCTATAAGATAGTTTCTGCTTGTTTGCAACACGATCAAACGCATCCTTAATGCTCTTTAACTCCATTTCTCAGATCAAATCGAGTGAAATCGTAACCTAAGAAAAAAAGATCAAAGCGAGTGAAATCGGATCTGCTAAACACAATACCAAAGGATCGAATCAATCAATTACTTAAAACAGAGTAACCAAATTAAACGATTTTTCCTAATTGATGAATCCGATCAAGCTAAAGTACGAACACAAACGATTCTGGAATCAACAGATCTTAAACAAAAACGATATAAATCTCCATCAAATTTTCTAGCTAACGATTCTCGAATCAAGAGAACATCGAGGTCGCGAAATCCAGAAAAACGAAAGCAAAAGAATCACTGAGGAATCAAAGACTTTTTACAAAAAGGAAGAATCGTACCTGGAAATCGAGAGGTAGAAGATGAAGTTTCGTGGATCGAAGTATAATCGTCTTTGCTTCTTCGATGGATGATGAAACAAAAGAGGAAAACCAGA